AATAATCTAATTCAAAAATAGTGAAAAAATATATATAAAGATTGATTGATTGGGTAGAATTCTCAACAAAATTCATTTCGTTGGGGAGTATTAATTTCAATTGCAAATGCAATGAAATGTGAATTGAACTTGAAGCATGTTATGCAGTAGTATGTGTTGATTTGAATGAGGTCAGTCGAGACTGCAAAGTCATCAAGGGCAGATGGAACGGCAGTCACTTATGCCATGAAAATCTCATGACACACAGGAATTCTATTGCTCCATCTCTTCTCGCATATTTTCAGGCGATATGATCGCAACATATTGTTATTCCAATCTTCATCCAAACAGTAAAAAGATCGGTTTTTCTGAACCTTGGTAAATTCCACAATGTCTGATTGATCTTGTTTTCTGAAAGTGACCAGATGGTGGTAGTATCCTCCCCATAGATATTTCAGGGGTGCCTCCACCTCTATACTTCCTGCTAGAGAAAGACTGAAATTTAGGAAAAAATTAAAATAAGACTCGCATTCGACCCATATTTTATCCAACGCCATCTTAACGAATATGATAAATATTTGTAAAACAAAAATTGTGATGAATACTTTAAACTTACTGAGTTTCATCTGAATGAAATATGATTTCTCCATCATCTTTCCCAGCAAGTTTGGCGAGGTAGATGAGAAATAGAGCCCTCTCCCTGATTATGTTTAGCAAGCTAGAGTTGTGACCACGTTTTAGAAAAGCTTCCTTAAAAGAATGTATCACAGTGTTGGTGGTGTTTGTAGTGATACGTGCAACTGTCACATAAAAATAGGGTTGTTCAGATATAGATTATGCAACTGTCAAACGGGCTTCTTTAGATATATATTTAAATAGGTTATAAAAGCCTACCTCTGAATGGAGGACCCGAGTATTTATCTTTCAATGCGGCCTCCAACGAGGCTTGCAGCGCATCATTTTCTGCTTGTTCGGGTTCGACTTGCAATCGTCCTTCTAGCCAACTTTCACCGCTCTTCTCATCATATCTCGTCAACATGTTTTCACTATCGTACAAGCCTATGAGGAAAGATAGTGCAAATTCTGCACCACTCCCCATCCCATAGGCCGCTTCCATTAGTGGAAACTGAGACTTCAAGCTCTTTGTTGGGCATCCGCAATTAAGTTGATATGCACACCCAAGAATGATTTGGTACAACAACTTCCTGAAGCTAATGCCCCTTGGGTGTATTATCCTCTACACAGCTTAGAATTAGCCCATATCTGTAGCAAGAGTCGATCTTCTTCATGTAGTACTTGCCACTTCTAACAATTTGATTAAATCTTCTTGCTTGCGACGCTTGACTTGTCACAAAATCTAATGCCATGGCAGAATCCACCATGCCATTGCATCTCAAGGACATTGTGGGTGGGCTATCAGACACTAGACTAAGCTTTGTGGTTGGATACAGAATGCCACCGTCGTACAAAGTTTGTCGTGAATCTGTTGTCATAACGATTGCATGTTGCAATATAATAATAAAGCAAGTGGTTCATAGAAGGCGAGGGTTCCTATTGAAAACATGCCATGATTTTGATCAAGCAACATCACACCAAAATTTACAAACTCAAATTGATGTTTCCAATTTTCCAGAGGCCTATACCCAGATAAACTTTTCCAAGCTTTGGAAACATCCATTTGAGTTTGTAAATTTTATTTTGGTGTTGCTTGATCAAAATCATGGCATGTTTTCAACATGAACCCTCAACTTCTGTGAAAGGCATCACTTGCTATGTTATTATATTGGAAAAGTTTATTTGGATCCGTGTCGTCGATCCACCAATTTTGAAAGGCTTTCTGGCAACTACCACCATCCTCGGGTGTCTCTTGAGTCCAGTAACAAAGCCCATGGGTGGGTTGAGGCGACGGAGCTGTTATGGAGTCGAATCAAGAACACCCAATTCAAAGGTTTCCGACAGATCGAGGGCGATTTCAGGTATTTTCTAGCCGAATTGGACTTCGGCCCAAGTATGAAAGTTGTTCCTTTCATTGAACTCTACATTTTTGTAAAATTTGGTAATTTTTAGAGTTAGTCGGAAAATCGGGTTTCCGTTCGTCAGAAACTGCCACCAGCGACGGGCGGTGGTGAGCGGCCAGTCGACCGTCGATGCTATTTTATACTAAATTGATGTCTTGATCTCATATTTGACTACTAAAACATCACTTCGTCAATAAAAGCCAAGCCGAGTAGATGAAAATTTGTCAGTAAGCTAGTGTAAGTGGTTGGCACAATAAATGCCATTTTAAGAGGCCTCGAGGGGAAATGACCCATATAAGGGGGTAGGGACTTCCATTATGAGGGTAAGACAAATCAAGAGAGAACAAAGTGGATGTATTAGCCAAGTGCTATATAATCTTGAGATATATATAGGGAGAGCAACATAGTGAATGTGGCCTAATTTTAAAAAGTGAATTACTTATATCTTTGAGCCCATTTAATTTCAACCATCTCATTAGGCTATTTTATGTTAGTTAATTAAGTTTGTCAACCTTACAATTTTAAACGTTAATAATATCCGCACTATCTATGAGAAAATTAAGCGCCTCCTCGGCTGGTTCTCCGGCCGCCGCAGAACCCATCTCCGCCCCTCCCTCCGAGAATTCTCACTCTCCTCCAACACCACTCTCAACTTCCCAATCCAAAACCCTCCGGAGGGCCCCGCCGCCCCCACCACCAAAACTCTCACCCCCTCCCTCTTTCTCCTCTTCGCTTCTTCGGTCTCCGACAAGACCATCCACACTCACGAGTACCGTGCCTACCGGTTCCGGCCGTCCAAGCACTCTTTCGTGCCGAAATCGATCCAGATCGTCAACATTGGGCCTGCGTTCCGATCCCATTTCGGGAATTTCAACCCTAGCTCGCGTTCCCAATTTTGCCCTGCGAGCTAAGTATTTCGCCGATGAATGTCGACAGGGGAGAGGAGAGCTTAGATCAACTGAAGCAGCACAACAAAGATCAGAGCGAACTGGATATGTGCAGTGAGGGTTTGGAGTTGGAAGCCTCAGTAGGCTGATGGGTTCGGAGGCTGCGAATTACACCTCCGGCGTTGAGGACTTGTATGAGAAAATGCTTGTCAAGATTGAAACTTTGACCAGGCTCATTGAGCAGAGCTCCGCCAAGGTTCTTGAGCAGGTGAGCACTTGCCGAATTTAGTAAAATTTTCGGAGAATTCCATGTGAATTTTGTTGGGATTTTGTCAATGTTGTCAAACAATCATGATATGTCATTTGTAATATCGAATTTGTGTGCAATGATTGCCTTTTTGTTTACTGACTTTAGTAAATTTTCTGAGAATTGCGAGTAAATTTTCGTTGGGTATGCTGACGCGGGGTACTTATCTGACCTGTACATAACACATTCAAAAGGTTTACATCTTTACCGTTAAAGGCACTGCAATATCTTGAAGGTCAACCAAACAAACCTTAGTTGCAACTTCTTCGAACCATGCTAAGATACTTGCCATGCATGAAGCTACTTGGGAATGCTTCTAGCTGAGAGAAGTTGTGGGACATTTTCGAAGTACTTGCGATCTTTCTTTCGTCGTTGATGTCCCTATAATGATCTTTGAATATAACGCAACACGTATCAAAAAGCTCAAGAAGGGATACATAAAAGGAGACAACACCAAGAACATTGTGTCGAAGTTCTTCTTATCGCATCAGCAACAAGAGTATCAGAAGATTGAAGTCAAGAAAATCCCTTCCAAGGATAACTTGGCCAAACTCTTCACCAAATCTTTGCCGAATACGACATTTCATGAACTTATTCAAGGAATTGGTATGAGTAAACTTTCTGTTGTCCTGCCTCGGGTTTTACCATAGCCATTGGGTTTTTGTGAGACTTAGTTCCTTTTGCAAGTTCCTTTGTCTAACACTAGCATGTTCCCAGAATTAGTGCTGATGAGTCCACTTCCTCAAATCTACTTGATGACGAATCTACTTCAGTATTTACACAGTCAAGGGGGGAAATGTTATAGATATTATATTAAAGTGTAATTGCGTAAATTCTAGATAGGTTTGGTTACTAGTTATTTTTTCCCTACTAAGATTGTATTGGAGCACAAGTACTCATCTCCTTTGTACTACTATAAATAAAAACACTAGGTAGGGGATAACAACATCTCATAGACACAGAGAAATTCCTATACTGTCTCCAGTCTCTCTTTGCCGCACCCATCTATTAACTTGTCACATAAATTGGCCACAACAATTTCAATTGAATTTAGTTAATTATTGAATTTAGTTAATTATTAAAACAGCTATATAATTTATGGTAAAAATTTATTAACTTTTTGACTGATGGTAAAATTAATATGTAACCTAGCCAAAACTAGTTACTTGAGCTCCAAGTGATTAATGACCAAACGGGCTAGGTGAGTGTCGTATTCCAGGGGGTGAGTTTCTTCGAATCACAACAAAGTGAAAAGAACGCTTGGCATATATCTGCTAAAGTTGGGCCCACTTAAGCCCACCCAAGGATATTAGCCCAAAGAAAAGCCAGAGAGCCCAAGGCCCAAAAAGTTTGGAGAGAGTTCATCGAGACAAAAGAAAGACTACCGGACCGAGAAAAACATGTGGACACGCTAACAAATTTATGGCACGACTCAAGCCCAAGAAAGACTCAAGTCCACTTGCGCAGACTTTAAATGGGCCAGGTCGAGCCGGACCGGCCATTTGACAGCTTATATAGCAGTGTATATTTCGACAGAAAAATATGTATATGAGAAAGCGCCGAGCCTAGCCCATTGTTTCCTGAAGCCCCAAATTCGTCTGGTGCAATCTCTCTCTCTCTCTCTCTCTCCCATATAAACTCATGCTTCGCCGATCCCTATTCGGACCCAGATTCAAGGCCAAGAGCCTCTCCATATCCGGGCAGAGGAAGAATCCGGACCGACCACCGAAGCTCCGAGGTGAGATCCGGACTCGTTTTGGTATGCATGTTTTTGGATTTAGTTTTAGGGTTCGGGTTAAGGTTAGGGTTAGCGTCTGTGAAGTGGGAGGAAGAGTATATGTAATTCGAATTGGCAGCTTTGTAATATGGCTATCTCCGTTTGCAATCTGAAATTTGAATTAATTTCTTACCTAATTTTGTGTGTTTGAATACAATAATTCCCATTCCCTTTTTACATTCAAAATAGTATGTGTGTTATGGGTTTATGCATGTAATAGTAATACTAATAGCAGCTAGATAGTCATTTACAATCAATTAGTATCGGAATTTCGTTTGATTCGAAGGTAATGAATAAATATATAAAGGTTGATTGATTGGGTAGAATTCTCAACAAAATTCGTTTTGTTGGGAAGTATTAATTTCAAGGTCAATTACATTCTGTATGTTATACGCAGGGCTTTGTTATCCTCCTAACAAATTAACCGACAATGAATGTGAATCGAATGTAATTGAACTTGAAGCATGTTATGCAGTAGTAAGTATTTGATTATTTGAATGAGATCGATCGAGAATACAAAGTGATTAAGGGCAGTTAATCTTGCCCAATCCAGATGGATATGTATGTATTGTTAACATGTATGTGCATTAATTTCCTCAAACAATTGTACAGATGTGAAGAAACAAGTAAAGGCTGTTCAAGAGTCTCAGAGTCCAATCCAACTTGAAAAAAAAGAAGAAGAAGAAGAAGAAGCAAAGGCTGTTAAACCTTGTGAAGTTTGTGGTGGTGCTGCTGGTTCCCATCCTAGTGTAGTGTGCCCGTATCTGCACGACGTCCCATGGCATGTTACGAGTGTTGGCGAGGGCTACAAAATAGCGTGTTGGTTTTGTTGGAAGGGCCAGTATTGCAGGCATCTAAAGAGGTATGCTATTCGACTTAGGTGTATGAAGTGTGGAGCGAATGGTCTCCACACATTCTGGGACTGCCCTGAGAGGCGGGGGAAGGGAATTGAGATGCCCTCTGTCCGTCGAGTGAAGCTAATTGGGACGTCCTCTGTCCGTCCAGGGATGTCACAGTTACGTCGTCCACGGTGGTAACTAGGTTAATTGCCTCCTCATTTTCTCTGAGTAGCTTCAGGACTAGCTAGTCCTTGTCTCTTCATGTGTCAGGCGGGTCTGTCTTTGAATAAAGGCTCGGATCTGATCCGTTTCGTGACTGGTGGATGGATAGATACTAATTTTTGTTCGTTGTTGTTTTCTCTTGAGTTTGTGTTTAATTAGCGCATAGTTGGAGCTACTGTACATGCTCTCTTTTTCAGGAATTACTTAATATGTAGGGGTAGTATTGGCTTAATCTCCTTGCTTAAATAAATTGAATCGACTTGATGATAACAATCTTTGCGATATGCTGCTTATGCCCAAAACCAATATTCTAAGCCACACTGAGTGAAGAACCATGTCAAATATGTCTGTAGGGCTTTAGCCAGTCGCGGTCCGTTGAGTGAGAGCTCGCTCAAAATGCCTTATGTTGAACAACTTAACTTTTGAGTTCTGAAATATCAACAGTTTAATTTATGATATGAATAGAACTCGGAAGTAACCTTTTCAAAACCAAAACAAAAAAATTCCAAGTTTTTAATAAAGGCCGCATACCACCCGGTACAAAGCAGAAAATAAAGAAAACACCGCACCAGCTCCTAAAAAATGCCCCGAAACCTTGCTCAAGGGGCAAAACACTGTTCCCACGCAAACCCTAGATATACCCTTTTCAGATTTTCAGCTAATTAGAATGGAAAGTTCATGTGTTTTCTGCATATTCGACACCGTGAAGGAAGAGTTTATAAACGAAACAGGGAAAACGGAAGAAGAAAGCATGCGGATTTCTGAACTTGCATGGCGTCCGAGGCTTCTGACGGGCCTGATCGGCGAATTCATGAGTTCTTTTTGCATATGGTTTTTTCTGTATGATTCATTTCCTTTGAGAATTTTAAATTTTGGCAAATTTTAGAAGTTGTTCTTGTTTGGGATGGGTTGCTTCTGAGATTGCTAAAAATGATTATCAATATGTTTGGCAGAAAAACGATTCTAAATGTGTTTGGTAGAAAAAGTTCTACGCGTTTTTTAGAGAACCATTGGTTAGGTGCTTATACAGGAAGAATTTTCAAGTGCTTCCTTAAAAAGCACTTGAATTTTTAACCCAAAAAGAAGAAAAACTGTTTTTAGTTGGAGCACTTTTAGCTAAAGTGTTTATGAGTGCAAGCATTTTCTACCGAAGCAATCCCGGCCCTGGCGAACGGGTCCAAGAAAGGGTTTATGAAGAAATTAGAGGTTTTCGATGCTACCTTAAGAGAACCAAAAGCTGCGAAATGGGAATACGAAACTAAGTGTGAAGAGTGGTGGTGTTTTTCAGACCGGGAACCATGGAAGCTTCGATCATAGGGCCGATTATTTGCATAATGAGCTCCCGGCTGTAAATTTCGATTCGGTATCTGATTGGAAGCCTTACAATGAATTTTACTCGTGGAGAATCTTTTGACGTCCAACTACGAGTACGTAAGTGAGCTTGTAGATGTGGAATGCAATCGAAGAAACGGTTGCAACCCTTCGGATGATGTCAAAGTTGAGACACCGTGGCTTAGATGATAGTACAACTATATGCATCATGAGCAGATAAATGTGCCTTGTGATGATGCTGAAAATATGACACCGATGACGGATCAAGAATTGCAGGGATGTTAGCAGAAACTAGGAAATTAAATGGCCATAATCGCAATAGTGTCATACCCAGTTATTCTTGCTTAGATTATTTACATGTGTAATGCAGTCCAAGATACTGCGATAATCCTTGGAATGACATCGGAATGCAGAAAGATCCCCTATATTGCAAGAACCTGGTGATGTATGGACGGATAGAAATCTTCGGTTTGGAACGCCAATCAGCATCTGCATCACAACATACTTTTCTTCTCCTTTACCAGGAGTTGAACATTCGTCACACTAACTTTCTTGCTTCCTCTCATCCCAGACCATTTTCCATGGTCCGGCTCTTGTGCCCAACCTGCAGTGCAATAGAATTTGTCAGGAAGAAGTTCTAATTGCGCAATGGCATGAGCTCATACAGAAATTAGGTTACCTCCAAATCCCAGCCATTGTGCGCAATGCCATGAAGAGAATCAGCACAGTCCGGACTCCAGAAAGGCCAAAAGACCGAGAAGCAACAAGTATGACTGTGGAAGAAATCAGTCCTACTAACTGTTACAACCAATCAAATGTCAAGTGTATAATATAAAACAATTTGCACAGTTTTATTTCAAATGGAAAAACTCAACGACAAATACAATATATTAAAACATAAACACTTAATGAAATTATATATAAAATCACAAATCACTGACTTGTTCCTTGAAGATAGAGGTTTGCAGAAGCAATCTCCTAAGACAGAAATTCGTCCCTACACCAGTGCAGCAGTTCAATGGACATCTATCTTGCAGGATACAACTATCTAATCCAAGTTCTTGCACTCGAACTCAGATTCTTGGCGAATTGGTTGTGGTGTTTCTCTGTGAAGTGTGAAGGATTCGATGGAAAATTATATGCTTGTTTCTGATCCGACAACCATATATAATGGCATAAATGAGCAGTTGAAACCGTTCATATTTATCTTTAAGAACGGTTACAACCGTTCATGTGATCGGTTTTATCCTTTCAGGAAAAAAAACTGAATGCAAAAATCAAAAACGTAAAAATGATACTTGGGTTT